TCAGGAATGACACAGCATCCTGGATCCTGTGACTTCAGTGTGGTTCACAGTCTATTTCGTCTGTGTCAGCACAGCTGCCCTGTACCTTCTGGTCACATGCGCACAGAGCACCTGGTCCTCACACATGCCTGTTCCACCTTGGGACCTTTGCTCATCAAAGTGAGCCTTGCACACCGCATGATGAACTTGGGCCATGTTTTCTATACATCCTGTCAACCTCTGTCTATGAAGTATGTGTGAAAGGGTATGTATGTTTGCATGTGTGTGCAAGCACACTTATGTGCCTGAGTGTACACTCATACCCCTAGGTACATGTGCTGTCAGAGGCCATGCTCAGAACTGGTTCCCTCACCTTTTCCATTGAGGCAAGGTCTCTTATAGGACACTTGCACACCAGATCACCTGTCCCACTAGTTTCCAGGATTCTCCTCTCAACCTCCCATCCCCACCTCAGGGACACTGAGCTTATGCATCTGTGTTGTTGCACCGAGCTTTGAAGCAGAATCTGGGGACTGAAACTCAAGTCCAAACTCGTGAGAGGCAAGTGCTTCACCTATTCTAGTAGCCCTGTCTCAGGTTTTGATGAGAACCTAGAGGCCATCTGGGGAATTGTGAGAACTGTGTCTTCCCTGCTGGGTCAGTTTAGGAACAGAGCTTCGTCTGAAATCTTAAGTTGTAGCATCATCTAGAACCAATCAGTCAGAATTCAAAGAAAATATGCCATGGCGAGTGCAGACATGAGGACGGTAAAGCAGCAGACATTCAAACCAGAGACCTGAGGACATCACACCATCCGTCAGGCTTTGATTTCTAAAATCCTAAAGCCAGTCTCCATAGCTCACCTGACCTTTGTGTCCTGCCCAGCCATGTCAGGGCAGGTCCTGCTATGACCTCATGAGGAGCCATTGTGAGGGGTCCAGCCAGCAGATGTTATGCTGTGGCCTGGCCTGGATTTGTTTGGGTGTATTGAGAGGAGCTGTAGAGTGGTGTCCAGTGCGACTTTATTGTGTCTAGTGAGATTGTGTGTGTGGTTTTTTGTTTATTTGTTTGTTTGTGTGCTATGTATGTGTGTATGTGCCAGTGTGTGGAGTGTGTTTACAGGTTTGCTTGTCTCTCTCTCTCTCTCTCTCTCTCTCTCTCTCTCTCTCTCTGTAGGTTCACTTTTGTGTGTGCATCTGTGAGAGTGTGTGTGTGTGTGTGTACATCTTGTGTGTGTGTATACATTTTGTGTGTGCATAATCGTGTGTTTGTATAATCGTGTGTGTGTGTGTGTGTGTGTGTGTGTGTGTGTGTGTGTGTGTGTGTGTGTGTGTGTGTGTGTTTGTGGTGCACCTCTGTGCAGAAGAGTGTGGAGACCAGAGGTCAGCCCAGCTGTTGTTTCTAAGGTAGGCCATCCATCTTATTTATTTTGAGGTAGGATCTCTCACTGGCCTGGTCAAGTGCCTAGGCTGGCTAGCCAGTGACTGCCAGGGATCTGCAGTGCCCGCTCCAAAATGTCAGACTAAAAGCCTATGTGGGTGGCTGGCTTTTTCAAATGTGAGTTCAAGAGACTGAGTTTGGTCCCATTCTTGCATGGTCATCTATTTACCATCTGAACCATCTCCTCTGAGCCACTGGTTTTTTGTTTGGTTTCAGTTTTTTGTTGTTTGTTTTTAATGTGAATGGAGGTTTTGCCCGTGTGTATGTCTATGCACCACATGGGTGCCTGGTACCCTAGGAGGGCATGGGTTTTCCCTGATGTGGAGTTACAGATGAGTGTAAGTTGGCCTATGGATCCTCAAGAAAAGCACTGGTGTTCTTAAAACCTTTACCACCAAGTCATCTCTCCAGCTCTCATGAAGGGATTTTTATGTTTGGCTTGTTTATTTTATGGTTTGTTTGGCTGGTTTGGGGTTATAGGATTTCTTTGGGATTTTTTTTAGAGTTTTCTTTGAGTTTTGATTATTTGATTATTTTTGCATTTAAATTTCTTACATGTGATGAACCATCCCTGCATTTCCAGAATGACTCCTACTTGATCATGGTAGATAAATTTTTTATGTGTTCTTGGATTTTGTCTGTAAATACTTTATTGAAACTATTTTGCATGTATGTTTTCAAGGGAAATTGGTTGGTAATTTTCTTGAGTCTTTGCATGATTTAGGTATCAGAGTTATTGTGGCCTTGTAAAAAGAACTAGGCGATGTTCTTTCTGTTTCCATTTTGTGGGATAATTTGAAGAGTATTGGCATTATTTTTCTTTGAAAGTCTGGTAAAATTCTGTGCTGATTCTCTCTGGCCCTCAGCTATCTTTTGTCTGGGAGACTCTTAAATACTGCTTCTATTTCACTAGGGGTTATTAGGTCCATTTAAATTGCTTATCTGGTTTTGCTTTAACTTTGGTAGACCATATATATTAAGAAATGTGTCCATTTCTTTCAGGTTTGTCCAGGTTAGTGGAATACAGATTTTTCAAGTATTCTCTGAATATCCTTCGTGTCTGTTGTAGGTGGACTTTTCTTTCCAGACCATCTGCTCCCTAATAACCGTCAAGAGACTCAATATTATAAATGCTCAGTCAATAGCTCAGGCTGATTACTAACTAGCTCTTACAACTTAAATTAACCCATTTTTCTTATGTAAGTTCTACCAAGTGGCCCATGGCTTGTTAACCTCATTTGGTACATGTCCTGTCCTGCTTCCTCTGTGTCTGACTGGAGACTCCTCTGACTCCGCCCTTCTTCCTCCCAGAGTCCTCTGTGCCTAGTTGTCTCACCTACACTTCCTGTCTAGTTACCAACCAGTCATATTTTTATTAAACCAATCTGAGTGACAAATCTTCACAGCATACAAAAGGATTATTCCACAGCAGTCAACAATGCCTGCCTTTTCAACTCTAATTTTATTAATCTGGATCTTCTCTCTCTACCTTTAATTAATTTGGCTAAGGGTTCATCAATCTTACTGATTTTCTCAAAGAACCAACTCTTCATTCCATCAATTCTTTGTATTGTTTTGTTTCTATTTTAGTGATTTCCACCCTGAATTTGTTGTATTTTGTCATCTACTCTTTTGGGGTGTTAATTCTTCTTTTTGTTAAATACTCTAGAATCTAGAGCTTTCAGGTATGCTATTAAGTTATTAATATGGGATCTCTCCAATTTTTTAAGAGTCTCCATTGTGAAATTGGGTGTTATTCTGATGGCTCTGCCTTTATGTATTACTTGTTGTTCTTCCCGTGCAGCTTTTAATATTATTTCTTTGTTCTGTACATTTAGTGTGTTCTGGGGAATTTCTCTTCTGGTGCTGTCTATTTGGTGATCTACATGCTTCTTGTACCTTTATAGGCTCCTCCTTTAGGTTGGGGAAATTTTCTTCTATGGTTTTATTGATAATATTTTTTGTGCCTTTGACCTTGACTTCTTCTCCTTTATCCCCATTATTCATAGTTTTTTGTTTTGTGGTTTTGCTTTTTGTTTGTTTGTTTTGTTTTTTGTTTTTGTTGTTGTTGTTGTTTTGTTTTTGTCTTTTTGTGGTGTCACAGATTTCCTGGATGTTTAATGCCTGGCATTTTTGAGACGTTTTCTTTGACTGAGGCACACATTTCTTTCACCTTGTCCCTAATGCCTGAGATACTCGCTTCCATGTCTTGTAAACTGTTGGTGAAGCTTACCTCTGGGGTTTTTGTTTGACTTCTTAAATTTTTCATTTCCAGTTTTATCTCAGTTTGACTGGTTTTCTTTAATGATTCTATTTGCATTTTCATGTATTGAACTGTTTCCATTATTTCATTCCACTGTTTGTGTTTCACAGACTTCATTAAGGGATTTTATTGACATCCTAAAGGTCCTTAAACATATTCCTAAATTACTATTTTGAAGTCCTTATGTTTCAGCTATATTGCATTTCACAGAGACTATTGATGGATACTGGGTTATGGTGGAAGCATATGGTCTTGGCTGTTGATGTTTCTGTTTGGGCTGATGTCTAGGCCTCTGGGCTAGGATTATTGGAGTGATTCTAGATTTTGATATGTGGTCTTGTCATAATTGGATGGTTGTTGCATTCCTTGTTTGCTGTGGCTCTCTCGATCTTAGGGGTTTGTGATAGCTGTGGGGTTCCTGATGCAGAGTGCTGCTGCACATTGGTGGATGCCTGAAAAGCATAAAGGTGGGCTATGGGGAGAGGCTGAAGGGAGCATCAGCAAAGACTTAAGGGGATTCTGGATACACCAAAAGCCAGAGTCTCCAGTGAGTTGGAGGTATGGTAGGAAAAGGGGGCTCCTGAAAATAGATTGCAGTAAGGCAAAAAGAAAAAAAAAGAAAAAGAAAGAAAAGAAAAAGAGAGAGAGAGAAAGAAAGAAAGAAAGAAAGAAAGAAGGAAACCACAAAAAACAAAAAAACTCATGTGGAGAGACAAGAATGAAAGGAATGGGGGATGTCCCTGGGTCTCCAGTGAATGGAACTGAGGTGGGAGGAGGGGCACCTGTAAGCAAGCTGTTACCAGGCTGAAGTGAGAACGGAGAGACCACACTGGAGAACATGAAGTGTAATGTGGTTCACATGCCAGAATCCCTGCTGGATGAAGCCACCAGGGTGTCCCAGGTAGAAAGTGTTTCTAGATATAAAGCTGGGACTGAAAAGATTCACAAGAAAGGGTAAAGCTGGGTCCAGGAGTTCCCAGGGAATAGAGGCAGAGAGGAAGGAGAGAGGCACCTGAAGCAGTCAGTTACAGAACCGAGGATGAGACTGAAATGCTGTAATGAAGGACTGGAAGGAAAATGAACATTGCTTACATGAATCCCAGCCCGGTGTGGTAACTGAATGTCCTAAGTAGAGTCCCTTAGATTTCATTTTTGATTTTTAGCTTTTTTTCCCCTCACATTGCTGTTTTCATTATTCTTATTTTATTTTTCTAGATTTTATCCTTTTTTCTAATTTTTACTAGATTTTATCCTTTAGTTCATTCCCCTTTTATTCTTTTGTTTATTTTAGGTATCCTTTGTAGCGGTTTTAGCTACAATGTCTACACCTAGTGAGGAGGAGTCACCAGAGGCCAGCCCTTCCAGCAGCATCTTTGAAGAGGAAAGCTTCCAGTCTCAATACAGAGTCCTCAGGACCATAGGCCATGGGAGCAACGCCAAGGTCCAGCTGGCCCACCATCTCCTCACAGGTACTCCAGTGGCTGTCAAAGTGCTTCAAAAAAAGAAGAAGTGGCATCAGCCACTCAGGGCCGAGGTAGATATCATGATGATGATCAGCCACCCTAACATCATCTCACTTTTCCAAGTGATTGAGACTGAGAAGAGAATATACCTCATCATGGAGCTGGCTGAGGGACAAGAGCTTTATCAATATATCCGAAAGGTTGGCCACCTGAAGGAGGACGAGGCCCGGGGGATATTCAAGCAAATAATAGCAGGTGTGAGCTACTGCCATGACCTAGGTATAGTTCACAGGGACCTGAAACCAGACAACATAATGCTGGACCCCAACGGAAATGTCAAAATCATCGACTTTGGCCTTGGCACCCAAGTTCAGCCTGGGCAAAGGCTGAGCCGGCACTGCGGTGCTTACTCCTTTGGTGCCCCTGAACTCTTCCTTGGCAGACTTTATGATGGCCCCAAGATCGACATATGGACCTTGGGAGTTGTCTTATATTTCATGGTAGTCGGGAAGGTCCCATTTGATGCTGTCACCATTCCAGAGCTTCGAAGGCAGGTTGTGGCAGGAAAGTATGCCGTCCCCTCAGGCATCTCAGAAGAACTCCGGGACCTGCTTAGTGTCTTAATGACAGTGAACCCCAGGTTAAGACCAACAATGGCTGAAGTGATGACACACCCCTGGCTCAGGGAAGACATGGAGGCTTTACCAAATCACTGTGATAAAATGATCCCCAGCTTGCCTGACCCTGCAATTGTGGAAGCCATGGAATTTATAGGGTTCCAAGCTCAGGATATCAAGGATTCATTATGTCAGAGGAAATTCAATCAAACCATGGCATCCTATCGCTTACTTCAAGGGCAGGCTCTCCAGGAACATGGCTACACAACCCGGGCTATGCCCATGAATCCAGGGGTGACACCATTCCCTTCCCTTGAAGATCCTGCTGCTTTTCCTCTAGAACCAAGAAGGAGGGGAAGTGAGCCAGCCCTTGGCACATTTCTCAGAGGGCCATCCACTAATGGTCCCCAGGCAGGTCAAAGGAGAGGCAGGCATGCCACTGGGCCACTCCAGAGGACACCCACACTGGACCCAGCCCATCAACGTGCCAGGAGTGCTCCCTGTGTTTATTCAGTGAGCAGCAGTGGTGAGAACACAGAAAACAACTTATGCTCACACAGAGCCACAGCAGAGGGCAAGTCTGTCCACAGCCAGGGCCAGTACAGAGGCTTGAAGGGATGGTCAAGGAGAATAGGAAAGGCCCTGATGAGACTGTGTTGCTGCTTTCCATCTGGGAAGAAACCTGGCCGAGGTCAGAACAGAGTCTCCCCTCAGAAATGAGGTACAAGGAGGGAGTCTATAGAACAAGCAGCAGGCATGGCCCAGGTACCTTTGTGCTTTGTCCTTCTGTTTGCTCTGAGCCAGTCCCATCTCCATTACTGACTCCATTCCCCCATCACCCAAAGCACAATTCTTACCTTCTCTAAGTACTTACCATTCTTTTCCATCCCAAGCCTCTCCCCTCTTCCCGGCATGGACTCGATAACACTGATGTGGATCCCACTCTAAAAGGTTCTCTTTCTGACCCCATCTCTTCACCTCCTCCCAAAGCCAACAGCTCCCATTCAAGGTGAGGACCGGGAGACTATGACCTCCGAGACCCTTGCAGCGGCTACTAGCCCTGACACATGTGGCCATCAGTCACAAGAGCTGCAGAACAGCCTTGAGTTTTCAAAAAGCAACATCACATTCCATAAGCCTCAAACCTGATAACCAACAATGTCAACTAAGCATCTTGGTATAGAGCTGGCTGGTTATTGAAGCCTGTCAGCTCTCCTGCATGCATGCATGCACAGTCTTTCAGATACTGATTGTTCCTCTGTTCCCAAGACCCTGATGATGCACAGGTTTCTATAGGAAGCACCTGAAAAAGATTTCTATCAAAGATTTCAGCTGTGAAGTAGAAAAAAAAAGAGAGAGAGACATGACATAGTAAGGCAAGTCTAAGCCCAAGATGGTATTCTAAGAAGTAATTTAACCTACTTCATTTCTTTTTGCCCAGAAAAAAATTGTCTTGTCTCTTTCACAGTGTCATCTGGAAATTCTGTCTTGCCCTGAATAGACACAGGAGGTGATTTCAGACACATGGCCCAGCTGACCCCCTGGTACCCCTGTCCCTGTGGGAATCCCTCCTGGAGCCAGATGCCATGTGCCAAGTGTTTAGGAAAATGTTTGGTTTAACTAAACACCAATATTCATAGAAGACACACAGACCTTCCTAGGACTGAACTGGAAGCTGGAGCTGGAAGGCAAAGGCAAGCAGCATGCTATTTCCCCGATGAGGAATACCCTCTCCAAACTGATGACTGTAGTGTGTCCTACCTAAACACATGCTCGGTGACATGGGAACATCAGCCCCTGCAGTTGAGGTGCTGAGACCAGGACAGGAGGGGGTGTCGGGACAGTGGGGAGCCGGGACAGTGGAAATTACTGGAGACCTTGGGGAGGACTATCACATGAGGGGCCAGGCAGCCAGGCTTCTCTTGACCAGGTACTTCCTGTAGACACACAGACTTCAGCATACTAAGGAGTGCTTCAGTTCCTCAAGGGCAGGTTCCTGCCGTACCCACCACTCAGAGTGGTGAATACTGACTCTAAAATGCCCCTTCAATGTGCCAGGAGTGAACAAGTTCTTCACATCCAAGGCTGTCTGGAGCCACAGGACATGGACACAGAACTTAGCTACTACTAGGCAGCTCCTGAATGTGTATATTTATAAGCAGAAAACATTCTTTCTGTACTGGAAGAAGTCTGGGTGTCCACACGGGCCTCACCATGAGTGTCCCTGACAGGAACTTCAACCAGCCCTGACCCACTGGACATAAGCAATGCACTAGCAAAGGCCTCACTTCAGGCTGTGACCTTGGAGCCACAGGCCACTGATTGCACTGACATGTTGGAGAGGGGGCAGGCAGCCCATGTTGAGGCATCTTGTCAGTGAAGAAGTTCTTCCAGGAAAGAACCACAGTTGAAAGGGAAATGCCACCAAAGTGGAAATCCCAGGCTCTAGTATAAATCAATATTTATTGCTATTGCACAAATAAAAAATTATATGTAAAAGTGCTAATGTCTATGTGTGAAAATTATGCGCCCATTAATACATGCTGCCTGAGCTAAGTTTCTATTCCTGTGATAAACTCCATGGCCCAAAGCAACTTGGAGAGGAAGAGTTCATTTCGGTTTTGGCTTGCAGTTTTAGTCCATTCTGAAGAGAAGCCAAGGCAAGACTGATTGTAAGAACTGAAGCACAGCCCAGGGAGGAGTGCTGCTTACCTGCTTGGCCTAATTACACCAACCAGGTCCACCTGCCTAGGGGAGGCACTGACTCAGTGAGCCAGGCCTTCCATATCCATCATTAATCAAGATGTCCTACACTCCAGCCTGATGAAGGCATTTTCTCAAGTTAGGCTCCTCTTCCCAGTGTTTTGTCAAGTTGACAAAAAAACAACTAGGACATGTTTTAAATCAATAAAGGATTCCAAGGTGGTAGGGAAATAAATACATGTTGGTAGATTTGGGAAGACTGAGTTAAAGTTCAAAGATAACTGCCCCAAGAATCCATCTCTAGGAAAACAGCCCCAGAAATGATGCCATACTGTTCGAAGAAGGCCATATGGGGACAATAGAGTGTGGGGAGATAGAAAATATCATAATGTAGATAGTTGTTGACTAGACTAGTGGGTACACACAGCGCAGAAACAGAAAGGTCCAATGCTGTGACATCAGACACCCTTCCATGCTAGCCTGAGTCCAACCAGGAAGTGACATCCATATGTTGGCAAGACTCTCGCTCACCTCCTTTGTTTTGGGAGAAGGATTCCTTTCCATCTCCTGAAGCTTTCAATCACTTCCCACGAGTCCCTTCCCAGGCTGGGCTCTGCCCTGGAGCCTCTGGTCAGAAATGTAGGGTCCCCATAGCCACTTGGTCAGGAGCAGGACAGCAGCAAGCTTGGCAGGTGACTTAAGGGGCCAAGCCCTGGGGAGGGGGAGGAGTCATCTTGAACCCTTTGCTGTCTGGCCTCTTTCAGTCCGTGCCACAGAGAAGACCCTCAGTCCCCAGCCAGAGCTGCACACTTTGGATGCCAAACAGCACGGAATACATTTTCTTAAAGAATGGGTACATGGGGTTGTGGGCTTTTATCATAGAAAGCCGTGAAGAAACTCCCACAGACATACCACAGAGCTGAGCTCAGAGAAAATCTCAGGTGAAAGGGCAGTTTTGAAATTAGACACCTTTGTCCACTTCTCACTTAGTTGTGGGGGATCAAAATATTTCCACTATGGAATATTTTGAGATCCAGCCTTTGGTTTCACTAAACAGGAACACCAGAAAGCTCCGGCCTATTATTGTATTGTTAATGCCAGTAGGGCTACTATTGTTTACCACGGCCTCAGGGTAATATGCCTCCTAATTTGCATCTAGATGCGCCTAAGCATCTGAGTAGGCCTCACATGGGTGGAGGTGTGAGATGTGTGAGTAACTTGTGAGGACTGAAGGTTAGGAAGGTGAGGGGTGACTGACCAGAGGAGAGAGGGGAACAAGGAGAGAAATGGTTCCCTCATGGTATTGGCAGGATGGTTAAGAAACAGCAGAAAAGATGGCTAATAAAGAAAAGACTCTAGTTCTACAGCATGGAACTGAGAGCTCTCTGAAGATGACAAGATGCCTGTGTTTGGTCTTTATCGCCGTTGGGTTGCTAGGGGCTTCCAGGTCCCCCCCCCCCCCCCCACTCAGGTCGAACCTCATGGATTAAGGCTGAGACAAGCTGGGTCACGATACTTAGTCCCCTCTTACCAAGACTCACTGATAAACTGCTGTTACGGTTCAAACTGAGCCCCAAATTCAAATGTTGAAGTTCACTCAACACCACAGAATGTGCTCTTATTCAGAAAATAGGGCCATTGGCGTAGCTGAGGCCACACTGCCACAGATGTGTTTCTTGAGTTTCTTTTCAGCTTGGTCCTGCTGCCACATTAGCCCCAAATAATCATGCAGTCCCTATATTAATTATAAAAGTGTTGGCCGATGGCTAGGGCTTCTTATTGGCTAGATCTGTCTTAATTATTAACCCATTTCTATAAATCTATGTATTTCCACGTGATCTTGGATTACTGGAGAATGCCCAGACCTGTCACTCCTTTAGCAACTACATGGTGTTTCTACGGGGTCTCCCTCTGTCTACCTTTCCCAGAATTCTCCTCATCTCCTAGTCCCACCTATCTTCCTGCCTGGCTACAGGCCAAACAGTGTTTTATTCATCAACCAATAAAAGAAGCATATATACAGAAGGACATCCCCCATCAGATGTGAGCCCAGGGTGACAGGTGTGCTGAGGAGAGAGGGAAATGGGAGTCATTTGTACTTGAGGGACTTTGTATGGAGGCAGAGCCCTGGGTGCTACAGGGATGAATAGGGACCATCAGTGAGCTGGAGAGGATGGATGAGGCATGGGTGACCCCACCCCCACCCCCAGCCTCCCAGAACCAGTCTGATAACACTAGACCAAAAGCTCCTGCTTCCAGACTATGAGAAATGAGCATCCCTTCACTAAGTTGTCATGAGCCATGGTGCTTGGGGACAGACTCCTGGGTCATCCTCAAGGTGTCACTGGTGTCAGAACCATGTAGTCCCACCTCCTATGAAATTATGCCCACTAAATTTCCTACCTCTCAGGTGGAACCCTCTCTGGATTGTTGGCCTTCACAACTGGTGTTGTGCAGCATTGTCTTCCAAGCCAAATAGCCATCCTTATGAGATCTGCTGTGCATGCTGGGAACTTCTACAGGCACTGGCAAAACTCATCCTGACCAATCAGGAAAGTTAACACAGTTGGTACAGTCATGGGGGTGGAAGGCTAGGCCATGTCCTGTCCAGAGATGCCCATCTCCAGGGGATGTCACTGTTAAAGTTGGCATCAGTGGAACCTTTGCATCACCCAGATGTGTGCTAGTAATAGTTTCCTAGGGACTGTGGCCATTGTGGGGAACCAAAATATTTCTGCTATGGAATATTTTGAGATCCAGCCTTTGGTTTCACTAAACATGGAGCACTGGAAAGCTCCTGCCCACTATTGTATTGTTAATGCCAATAGGGCTACTATTGTTTACCATGGCCTCTTATTTGCATCTCTATGCACCTAAGCATCTGAATAGGCCCTCACCTGGGCAGGGAGGGCAGAGGTGTGTGAGTAACTTGTGGGGACTGAAGGTTAGGAGGGAGGGGTGAGTGACCAGAGCAGAGAGGGAACAAAGAGAGATGTTTCCCTCGTGGTGTGGGCAGGACGGTTAAGAAACACCAGAAAAGATGACTAATAAAGAAATGACTCTAGTTCTACAACATGGAACTGAGAGCTCTCTGAAGATGACAAGATGCCTGTGTTTGGTCTTTATCGCCATTGGGTTGCTAGGAGCTTCCAGGTCCACACACCCCCACTCAGGCTGAACCTCAGGGTTGTCGTGGGCTAAAGCTGAGACATGCCGGGCCACGACAGGCCATGACCTTCTAGCTCCAGACACCAGGGGCTAGCTCTACCCAATTTGTTTCTGAGTTTCATGGAGTCTTAGACACTG